ACTTCGATTGGTCTCATCCACCACAACAGCTCATCTTCTCTCAAGTATGCAAATCACTTATTCGTTCTTTCATAAATTTGCATAGGTGTCCTCCGATGGTGAAGAAGAGAGGAGGAAAAAGAAGAAAATGGACCCAGCCAAAGGAAGGCAACAGCAACCCTCTGTTCGTGCTGGCAGAAGTAATCCAACAAGAGGCAACGGAGGAGTTGTTGGTGATAGGGGGAGCACCCAGCAGTAGGTGGTTCAGGAGTTGCAGCTTGAGATGATGGGGTGTGTTATCCGTCCAAATGTCTGTCCTAATACCCCTAAGCATATGAATGAGTTTGATGGATCGTACATGGTACCATATTCTGAGGATGTGCAAGAGAGGATGCCTCAAGATACTAAGCAGAGACAGAGGACTGGTTACCAGAACCAACACAAGATTGTGAAGGAGGCCAGGATGATTATTCCCTACACTGTTCCTAGAGACACTGGTATTGATTATCGCTTTTGGAATGAGTTCTATCCTAATTATTATCTCTCTATGCTTTTCAATGCAAAGAATTCCAAGATTCTGAAAATGAAATATGTGGACTGGGAGCACTTGGAATCTAAGAGAGATAGAGATTTCATCCAAGCTATAGCAACATGCAAGAAGTTTGGACTGTATGATCTCATGGCTTTTAAGTATGATTGGAATACTGAGATTCTGTTATAGTTCCTTGCTACCTTCTATTGCTGCAACAGGTTAGATATGCTTCACTGGATGACTGAAGGTCAACACTACAAGATCGATTTTAAGACTTTCTCTCACCTGTTGGGACTTGGTGCTAAGGACAGGGGTTTCTAGGAGATACATGATCAGGGCACTTTGTCAGTGAAAGAGATCACTTTCATGTATGTGAATCACAGAAAAGCTGATGGCAAGGTAAAGGGCCTAAAAAGCTTCTACTACATACTTAACAACCTCTTCAGGACATCAATTAACCCAAAGGGTGGAGCAGCTTTAGATTTATATGGGTCTGCAAATTATGTCCTTGCAAGGATGGCACCTGGAGGAGCTCCCTTCTCTGTTTCTCATTTCATCTAGAACGAGTTGCAGATTGCTACTGAGGATGCAAGGAAGGGGCTGCCCATTGCTCCCTATGTTATGTTCATCATCGAGCGTGTCACAGGATATACCTTCAACAAGGATGGAACTCACAAACCATACAGAGGTGAGAAGACTCACCATACAGTTGTTGGAGAGACAATGAGGCAGTCCGGGATAGCAGAGTGCTCTCACAGTGGGAAGAAAAAGAGCAAGATCGCCAGGTTCCTAAAGGCTCACTTTGGTCAATGCACGTATGCAGCTCAGATAGCATATGAGTCAAAGTTAGAGAACAGAGAGCTTCATCGCCTTCAGGGGTTTTCTTCACTTGAGGCACCTCGCCCTCCTCCGGAGTACAGCGACATTTCCAGCTTTGACTGTGAGGAGGAGGAGATACTTGAGGAGGAGGTTGCCAGTCTTGATGAGGAGATTGTAGTCCCGTCGACTCATTCTACACGCTACACCCATGGTGGTAGAGCCATTGTCTCCGACGACGAGGAGGTTGAAGATGATGACAATGATGATGATGATGATGATGATAACGACGATGGTGATGAGGACCACTTCCAGGAGGATGATGAGGAGTAGTTGCATCTCTCTTTCTTCTTTTATTCTCTTTTTTGTGCTTGTTGCCAAAGGGGGAGAAGATGATTAGAGAGGGGTACAACTTATTTTTTCATCGCTTTTGTCGGTTTGCAGGACCTTCACGTCCTATCCTTTGAGAGTCGATAGTTAGTTGTCACTTAGGTGTGAGATGAGAGTTGAGAGTCGCTCAAACTCTATTTTATATAATAATTGCTACCTATGTACTCTCTAATATGGTGGATGTGGACATGTACTTTGTAATGTTTTCTAGCTTGTCATTTACTGCTTTTTTAGATACTCATTGTGTTAGCTTTGTGTTGATGCTTGGCTTCCACTTGTTGTGCTGACTGTCAGGTGCGGCAGTGCCGCTCCCAGAGCTGCAGTGCCGCGCTGAGCAGTTTCAACACTTATTTTCTCTAATGTGCATACCTATCATTTGCATCACGTTTATTTATATGACATAATGTGCAGCACCCCACAAAAGCAATGGATGTAGGGGGAGCCTCCATTTCACCCAAATATGTGAATATTGGCCTCTTATGCCAATTTGGAAATTCAAACTCCTATTCACATATTCAGGTAGAGTTCCAACACCCATGTCTTGAAAATCTCAGTTGTATATTTCTATCTATTGTAAGCTTTAATCGTGTTGTCATCAATCACCAAAAAGGCAGAGATTGTAAGTGCAATCAAGCCCTAATGTGGGTTTTGGTGATGATGACCACACAATTAGGAGACTAACGAGATTTATTAAGATGACAAGTAGGTAAAATTAAAAGGAGGACAACTTATACTTTGGTGGAGCCCTCAACTACAAAAGGAAGCGGCAACCGACTCAATGGCGTTTAAATTATTTCATATTGTGAATTTGAGTATAGGAAAAGCCGTACTATAAAGAGGGATACAATGCACAAGCTAAAATATGCAACCAAGTGCTCAAAAAGTTCCACCAAAATATCCTCAAAACCTAGCCACTGTAGCAAGTTTTTCACTCTTCACCTATTTGGCTACCTGGCTTGAGCGGCACTGCCGTGACTTAAAAGTTACCGTTGGACAGTAGAGGATATGTCTATCTCCTTCTTGCTTCCCCAATGTCGTGACTTAAAAGTTACTCATCTTCAACCTTTAGACAAGAGCAGCTCTCCATTTAAGGCTCCCAAGCTCCCAAGCTTTCTCCCTTGCATTCCTTTGCTAATCCTTGAGAGATTGAGCCTCTAAACTCCATTAGAGAGTAGCCCCAACTGAGCTTAAACTCCTAAGAGCACTTGGTTCGCATCTAGCCGGTGGATTGTGTTTGTTACTCTTGGAGCAAGGTTCCTAGCTAGCTAGGCATCGCCCATGGAAGCCTCCAACTCATGTTGCAGCTCCGGGAAGTTTGTAATCACCCTCGACAATCTAGTAAGCAACCCTCATCTCAAGAGACTAACTCTCTTGACTTGAGAACAAGGATAGGGTTTGTGAAACCCAAGCCTTCATGGTTTCCTCAACAACGTGGACTTAGGTTAGCCTTTGTGACGAGCTGAACCACAGGATAAACACCTTGTCTCTTGTGTTGCTGTGATTTGTATTATGCTCTATTTGTTTGTTGGTGATTCTAGGGTTTGGTCCTGATCTGCTTGTGCTTAAGCTTTTGACTACATTCAAGTGGTGAAATAGACTCTAATCTACTCCAGGAACTTCAGTAAATTACTCGATCTAATTTTCTTTGGGCAGTTTTTGAATTGTGACCTTGAGGTAATCTGTGCACACGGCAGTGCCACTCTGAGGCCGGCAATGCTACTCAAGTGACAGTGCTGGGCTCTAAGTGGAAGTGCCGCTCCTGTTGCTGACAGAAAAACTTTGAGTTTTGTTTTGACAGGCCTATTCACCCACCCCCTCTAGGCTTATTCGATCCTTACAAGCGTTCTCCACCGCACCCAAGCACGGCCGTCGGCCTTCCTCCCTCTCTAGTCTACATCGCGCCTCCTGGTCGTCACCTTCCTCCTTCTCCATCGCGCCTCTATCCCGCTACGGCCTTCTCTAGCTCGCCAGCCGTCTTCTCCACCAGAGTAGCCATAGCTCGCGCCAGACCCGCCATGGCCTTCTCCACCGGAGCGGCGACAGCTCGTGCCAGCATGTGATAGGGAGCGCCACCATCCAGCGCCGCGCCCCCATATCCACCTCGCTTGTCGTGGAAGGGGAAGTAGGGGAGGCCTGTGCCTACGCCTGGGGAGGCTTGCACTTGCACCTGCGCATGCGCCACCACAGTTCCCCAGCATGTAGGCCATGCCTGGCTGCTGGCGACGCTGTGTTTCAAGTGTTTTAGGGCGTTTTCAAATATGTTGCAAGTCTATATTTCAAATGTTTCAGTTGTATCAGATGTATGTTTGAAGTGTTTTATACGGATGTTACAAAAGTAGATTAGGATGTTGCATATGTTGCAATGGTTGTACACGTGTGTTGCAAGCGTCTGTTCCCAATGTTTCATATGTTTTTCAAACTATGTTGCAAGTGTGTTTATCTGGATGTTGCATATATTTTCACACATATGTTCCAAGTGTTTTATCTAGATGTTGCGTAATGTTTGCAATTGTTTTCAAATATTTCTTAGGTGTTTTTACAAGTCTTTTAGAGGCATGTTCAAGTGTTTCATTTGTCTTTCTTTTAATGTTACAAGCGTTGTATCTGAAGTTGTATCTGAATGTTTCAAAAGTAAATCGAGGTGTTGTATATGGGATGCGCGTGAGAAGTGGGAGGGAGCGCGAGTGGTCCCCCGCATGCGGTTTGACGCCACGAGCGACGTTCGGGGCGACGCGGGCTTGCTGCTGGGGCGCTCGCTCGTAAGTCTGACATTGATGGAGGTGCTCGGTTGCTTGCTGCGTGGGCACCATCCGACGCTAGCATCCTGGATTGGACGTCCGGCGCTAGCAAGTCCCATGCCATTTGGCTGGGCGAGATGCTTGGCCGTCTAGTGGACAACTTGCCGCACAAGCCAATTGACACTTACCACGTAAGCAACGGGATTATGGCAATCCAATCGACACTTGCCGCACAGGCCACTCACACACACGCACTAGGCCTATGGCCCAACATTGTCCTTCGGGTTTATGCCCATAACAAATAGCCACCAATGACCGGGCTGCCGCTTGCCGAGCGAGTAGGAAGCGAGACAGTAAGCAGAGCCGATACCCGACCGGCCCATGGGCCATAGATGGGGGTTAGCTTGGGACCGGAAGTCCAGCGCCCCGCACGGTTAGATGAGGAGCAGCGTATGCCGGCCCTAAACCCATCTCCGCCTCGTCTCCACTCTCCACTCTGCTCCTCGCGCCGCCGCCGCCGCCGTGCAGCGACGCGACGACAGGTAATGGCTTCCGGCGCGGTGCTCCGGAACGCCGGCTCCCGCCGCCTCTTCTCCTACCCCACCCTCCGCGCCGCCGCGATCTCGGGACCCGCCGCGCTACCCGATGCTCCCGCGGCTGCGGCGGCGGCGGCGGTGACGCCGGCTCAGCCGCCACCGCTGACCGGGACCCTCTGGGCGAGGTCCGTGGCCACCTTCACGCGCACGTGAGTACTCCTTGTCCCAGATCCGTTCCATGCGTACACGCTACTCTGTCGGTTCAGAGACTTCAGACTCGTGTGATTCGTGATTATCCATTTCCATGGATTCGTTTGCTTCGTTTGATTCACTTTCCAATCCGGATCAACCTGCGCAGGAAGCCCCAATTGAGCGTCGGCACCATTGGGCACGTCGATCACGGCAAAACCACTCTGACTGCTGCTATTACCAAGGTTGGATGCGTTAGACATGGTCATCCTTCATTTACGATGTTTCTTCCACTTCGATTAGAGATACAGATACTAATTTTGTTTCCCTGGATTACTGGGCGATCAAAAGTTACCAAGCTGAATTTGCAGGGAATATTAAGTTTCTAGGGTAACTATTTACATAGATCTCGGTACTTTGTTGCAGGGGATATCAACTACAAGGAATCTGCTTGCAGATGATGCTATGGTGCCTATTTCTTCTCCTTTGACTCCTCCACTTGGTGACGGCGAAGAAACTGACAAAAAGGGGGCTGTGGTAAAACGCCTAAAGGTCCAAGCCATAAAAAAGGATATCAAACAGGTAAACAAACACTGCAGAACTAGTTATTTGCTTCTATGAAACATCTATGAATTTGCTAGTTTACTGACAGCATTGCATATCTATGAATGTGCAAATTATCATAATTTAGCTGTACTGTACATGGCTATTTTATCCATGTTTCTTTCTCTGGAATAGTTAATTATGGTTTCGTGAGATTTCAATGCTTTCATAGTACAAATTCCTAAATTGCTGTTGCTGACTGTTTGTTTCTAGAAGCTGCACCTGCCGCCTGGCGCTTAACTTCAGCTCAGTTTGAATTACTGAACAGTAAACACTTGATAGGGGAACGCTGTACAGATTTCATTAACACGTATATTGGGCATTGCTTTTTTCTGTAATCTATTATCATCAAGAGATGTATGTATCTCATCTTTCTGAAGCCTTCTGGCTATTTCAGAGTCCCAAGAAGGTGAATCTGGTAGCAAAGCTGGTTCGAGGTATGCGGGTGGAAGATGCCTTATTGCAGCTGCAAGTGACTGTTAAAAGGGCTGCCAAAACTGTTTACCAGGTCCTTGCTTGTTGAAAATTTGACCACTCAACTGTTTCTATGATAGTGCAAAAATGACCAAAGACACATGTCATCAACATTTCATCTTACAAATCACTGCAGGTGATCCATTCTGCTCGTGCCAATGCAGCTCACAACCATGGATTGGATCCTGATAAGCTCATTGTTGGTAAAACTTTTAACAAAGCAAGATCCATCCCCTACATTTGTTATAATCTAACCACTTTCGTGTTATCCATGAAAACCACAGAGGAGGCCTTTGTGGGAAAGGGACTTTACCTGAAGAGACTGTCTTACCATGCAAAAGGGAGGTGCGGTATCATGGTGCGACCAAGGTGCAGACTGACAGTGGTGGTTAGAGAAGCTACAGCTGAGGAAGAGGCAAAGATTGCCAGACTCAGGGTGAGCAACTATAAGAAGCTGACCAGAAAGGAGCGGCAGCTGATGCCGCACAGGCTCATCGAGGTTAGCCCGAGGTGGGCTCGCAAGAGGAAAGAGGAGGCTGGTGCTACGGCCTAGTACTAGTTTAGGTATGCTGAACCTGCCTTCACTGTTTTGCACTCGACAGAGCAAACATGCCATCTCTAGCACAAATACTTGCGCCTCTTGGTGTTGATTCACACAAACAGGTTCCAAATCCACCTGATTTGACTCCTTGGTAATCTTGGTCACTTGGAGTCTCTAGAAAGAGAAATGTTCTTTATTTTAGCAATGTGTTGTAGCAACTAGCACTTGAAATAAACCTCGGAAAAGTAAATTTTGTCTCTAAGGTTGGATGTGCATGGGGCACATGCCCTAAAGGGCACAAAAACTGCATCTAGAATTCCATTCAACTATTGTTTTTGGCTGGTTTCAAGGGCCACTCTAGTTTCTTTTCCTTATCTGTATTTGTGCGTGTATTGTACTCTAACTCCTCGTCTTTATGAAAAACGTACTCAACACACTACAAACCAATCTTGCATTGGTACATTGCAGTTTGATGCAGCCGGGAAGACTAGCAGAAGGCGTATAGCACCAAGCGGCTGCAGGATCAGCATATGCCTCTTCCATGATGTCTCCCATTCCCACATCTCACGTTAGAATTTTACAAATTTTGTTTATAGAGTATCGTAGATGCAGGTCAGTTGGCGTCATATTTATATCAGTGCTCAGTTATGGTTGTTAATTGAGAAAATTACCTGTAACTTGTGCCACAGTTTCATGATATATAACTGCTGAACACACATGTTGCCTTGAAGATAGTACTTGTCCCATGTTGCAGCAACAATAATTTGTCAAATTTCCCAACCAGGGTTGGGTGATGAAATTTGTCCATTCATTAACCAAGTGTTGTAGAATTTGTATTTTCCTTCAGTATCTCTTTACAACTAAAAAGAACAAAGTGTGGACATTTTTTGATGCGACATTTGTTTTGGTTCATCTGTTTGCCCACGCATGCGATTCTCGCCTGCTTTGAAGGAAACAAATCGATCATCTGACGCTACATGCATGGAAGGAAACAATAATCATGCACCGCGCGATAGAAAAAGAAATTGCCATCCTTGCGATCTCCGCTTGCTTTGAAGGAAACAAATTGATCACCTGAGGCCACATGTATGGAAGGAAACAATCATGTGGTGCCCCTCTTGCTCGGTCACCTGAGATCAAGCAAGACGACTCAATGAGATTGACCCTTAATTTTAGTGTTTCCAGCATGCAGACCTAAAATTAAAAAATGGCTGCTCCTTGAGAACATCAGTTGTGCCAAATAAAAGATGTGCAGGTTATACATGGTGAGACTGGTGAACCTTCTGCAATTTTCTAAACGAATATTCCCACCATTAGTATATAGGTTCATTTCCATGCGTTTCTTCGTACTCCCATTAGCATATAATACGAAAATATTGTTGTGTTCATCATGACTTTCAGTTGACTACTCCCATTAGCATATACTTCATCCGCCCTAAAATATAAGTCGTTATGGGATGCGTGCAGGTCAAACTTTCTCAACTTTGATTAGGTTTGTAAAAAATACGTGCAACATTTATATCTCTAAATAAGTTTATTATGAAAATATATTCAATGGTCTATGTAATGATACTAATTATGTATTATAAATATTAATATTCTTTTATATATAATTGGTCGAAGTTAAAAAAAGTTGACTTCTTGTGAAGCGAGAATGAATTCTATTTTGGGACAGATGAAGTATATGAAAGTAGTGTTGAAAATATTTTAACAATCAATTTCGTCTCTGTCTTATTGGTAAGCTTAGACATTATAATAGCATAAAAAATTTTGACTTTCATGGACACCCTCATGAATCAGTGCAAAGCATCATAATCCTACAACGTACACAAATGGCAACCTTAAAGTTATGATATTTTCAAAGGGTGGACAATAAAGACCATCTTAGATGTTCTGGCATTAGAGTATATACGTGCAGGCACATAGGCATGGTGGTGCAAGTGAGCAGTCAGCAGGAGTCGAGAGTTAGGGGGTGTTTGGATCCCAGGACTAAACTTTAGTCCCTGTCACATTGAATTTTTAGATATTAATTTAGAGGACTAAACATGAGCTAATTATAAAACTAATTACATAAGTTGTGGCTAATTCGCTTGGCAGCGCCGTGTACAGGATGGTATGGAGATGTGGTGGAACTTATTCGTGGATTTGTTGGCATACAAAAGAAATGGATATCGGAAGTATCTTCCTGCCGGTATAAAAAATGATCTTAGCTGCATCATGAAAAGATCTACATAGTAGAGTTTGTGAGCCTGCGACGCCACGCTCTCTGTGACTGTAAATTTCACGAACTTAGTTTTTTGGATTAAATGTCACTTTAACGTCGGTCATATACTTTTACAGTATTGTTATCTTATCGTGCGATCCGTGTGTTTTTAGTACAAAAGTTTAGCTGTCCCGTAGCAACGCACGGGCACGAACCTATTTGCATATATACTCGAACATGTGTGTACATGATTATACGGAGATGCATATATACTCGGTATTTAATTTAACAGTATTATTATCTTATCGTATGATCCGTGTGTTTTTAGTATAAAAGATTTAGTTATCCCGTAGCAACGCACGGACACGCTACCTAGTATACACAAAAGTGCAAGCAGTTTGTATTACAGAAGAACTTTTAGTTATCCGATTCTAATTAAATTGGCAGGACTTTATTCAACAAGTGTCACTTTATCTTGCACACGTACAGGTCACACTGGTTTCTTAATGCAAGCACACATATACATATGCATCGAATTAATTAAGCAAGAGAAGTAGCCTGAGAAATAAAACACTGCTTAGTAATTCTATACTATCAGTATATTGATAAGAAACCTAGAATTAATCCAATAAATCACATTATTGGCCATCTAAACATTAAAATAGTCCTACAACCATATCATCATATACCTCTCCAAGGAATCAAAGAGGCCCTCAACGGAGGATTAGTACAACATGAGAATTGAAGTTGTAATTTACTCCTTTATATCACAGCATTGCCACAGTAGCAGCATACAACATACACACACTCTAACCTCACACAGCCTTTTTCATGCGCTCGGTGCTGCTGCTCTATCCTTAGCTTGGGCCCTTGATAGTTTCTTTTCTTGGTGTAGCTCTCCAGGAAAGCTTTGACATCGGCATCGAGCTTGGCTTGTAGCATCTGGCGTAACTCATCTGAAAGCTCGTCTATATTTTGAGGAAAGATCATGTTAGCCTCATTGAAGAGGCTGGTCTCGTCATCCTTGTCGGTGGCAGCACCATCGTTGCCTCCCATGTTGCTAGTAGATTAGTTCTTGAGTCGCTTCGCTCTCCCCAGCGGAGTCAACAAAAAGTATGTTGACATTGAAGATGACCCCAAGCCAACACACCAGTAGGCCTTGATGCCCAAAGAGGTTGCACACAACCTGTAATGCAGCAAGAACACGGCGTAATCGATTAAACCGATCTAGAGACCGATGAGACCAATGTAGAGCATGTTCTTGGCCGGAAAAGCTCCTGAACTTCTCCCTGGAAGACCAGTCGGGGAGGAGCACGTGGAGGATCTCCTAGGACCAGCAAGGCCACCTAGGATGCCGTTAAATCTCGTCGGGAAACTCAACGAACAACAAGAGGGGTTAAGAGAGAGGAATTAGGGAAAAAAGAAGTTGATAGATTGGTTTGTATGACGATTGGATAGATAGAAACTCAATCGACCATGATTCTCTCATATATATATAGAGGGGGGTGGTCTTATCCCAGTAGGAAACCTTTCCAAGCCTTATTTTTTAAGTTTCCCACGAGTTTGGAACAATTCGAATCAGAATCCAAACAGCCATATCCGAACAGGTTTTTTGTTAGATCTGTCGGAAGTCCCGACTTGGGTCGGAACTCCCGACAGTCGGAACTTTCAACTTTTGTCGGAACTCCCGGCATAGGGATAACTACAGACACTCGGGCAGGTTTCTTCAGGCTTCCTAGAAGTCTCGACACCCGTCGAAACTTCCGACAGTTGGAAGTCCTGACTTGGGTCGGAACTCCCGACAACGAAGTAAGTTTCCGGGGGCATAACTTTTCATCCGGACTCCGAATTCAACGAGAGGAATACAATGGTGAAGTCCGTTCTACATTTTGACAACTTCACAAAATGGACAATTTTGGTTGTGCAACAGCCACCGGCCATATGGCGATGACTGGATAACCATTCTGAAACTCCTAATCTCTGTAACTAGGCTCTTTCGAGGCCGATTGTGATAGACCTGCTGGTGGGGGTGGATGTCGACAAACCGTTGGAACCATGGGTAAAATAGCTTGGCCGGATATAAATCATCCAGAGTAGCAGACAGAGCCAGATGACCAGTGTGTGCCTCTTTCCCGATGCCTCAAATTTCCATGCGTCACGTTTTTTCTTTTTCCAGTACAGTCTCATGTCTCATCATCTTATTTGTTTACGCTAACACTAATATGTTCACTAAAAGGAGAGGTGCTATCAGGTCATGTGTGTGGCGTGTGTGGCTTGTTTCAGAGATGAAGTATTGTACCCGTGCAAGTGTGTAGCGTCATATTTATACTGGCATCCGTGTAGGATTTTTATTGATTGGTAGGTAACCAATTAGTGCCTAATTTATGAGATAAATTTTGGGGTGGTTGGAAAAGATATGAGTCGTGCATCTATTGCATGGTAAAACTATAGAAGGTACTTATTGAAAAGTACATAAATCAAACAAGTGGGGATACTACCAAAAGGATGAGATCAATAACCATATATTATTATAAAGGAAAAAAATCTACTTAAATCCTCTAATTATTGACGGTTGTCTACTTCATCATTTCACCTTAAAGTATTGAAACCGTCTAAATAACCACCTAAGGACTTTTTGAAGGTTGTCTACTACATCATTCCACCTATAAAACCAGACGTTCTACCCCTTTAATTATTGAAAATCATTTAAATAATCCAATAAGGAGGTTTTGAAGGTGGTTCCACTAATGTGGCATATTACGTGATTGCTGACATGATTATGTGGCAGTAGACAGTAGAAAGAAGTCCA